GGTTTGAGTAGCCAACCTGTCATTCATCATGGGGTCCATGCAGGACTCTGATGTCCAAACCCAAACGTTCGGAATTGGCTTGTTCAAAGGGTCTTTTAGGTTGGCCATATTGTGCATGACAACCCCAAATGGATTTGCCCTTAAAATTGCGTATCTTCAATCCACTTGATTATCATTCCGCATGAAAATTAAAATTGCCATGAAGTTAAGATACTACATAGTTTAATCAGTTTTATAAGTATACTCCATTTCTTGGACAGGACCAAATAGTTCTTTCAGATCTCTTTGCAACCCGCTAACGATAAGACAAAAAAACATTGGGTCAAACTAAACCCCATTAATTTGTTCGTGCAAACATGGGGCGGATTTGGGGTATACCGGGTATACCCCCAATTCATGGCATCACAAGTGTGGAAAAGGATGATCATCGAGTGGATTTGTGTAGTAAATATTCAATTTATCAGACAAATCCTGAAAGGTAAATCATGTTGTTCGTTAATTCTATACTTACCCACATAATATCATATAATATCCCCAAAACCAGACTGGTTGGTTTGATGGCCACATCACTGTCTTGCTCAAAATTCTGGCATTCTCTAAACCAGTACTGTTGGTGATATTCCCATTTAATCATAGTTAATCATAGTTCATCCCGATCGTATCCCCATAGTTTTCCCAACTCAAAACTTACCTTGAACACGACGAAGCCTCGAAGCTTCGTTCAGCTTCGTTCAACGCTAAGGTTGTGGACTGGTATTAATCCTCCAGGCGCTCCTGCAACCTGCACATGGCTACGCATGGATGGCAAAGATTAAGGCACCCTGCACCGACTCAAAAGGAGCTGAGATGGAAAGTTGTCCAAAGATCTTTAAAGATAAATAAATAGATATATATCTAAGAAACAACATATAATATACATATTTATATGGATTCTATTATATATATATTATATATATATATGCATATAAAAAAAAAAACATACAATACTATTGTTTAAAGATCTTTATAACGCACATTGATTTCATCCCCGCCATGGTTGATATCAACTGGGGATATACCTTGTTTTCCCATCAGAGGATGGTCATCAATCCGGGAATATATTTTTTATTGGGAAAGAACATACCCATATACCCATGATATACCCATGATCTATGGCATGGATGACCATAATATCCTATAATATCCATAAGTCACCAGCATGTGTTGACCATGGCACATGTTTTTTCGCATCCGCGGTTCATATTAGACACCCCGAAACCCATGGTTTTGGGGAATGTTTAGGGGATGAAGTATAACGACCTCACTGGGAAGGCTCTGGAATGATGGTAGGGGTATCTGTATGAGACGGTGAGCCATTTCAAAGGGGTGATTTATATTTGCTCACAATAGTACAAACGAGAACATGTTGGGTTCACAGTACATGTATCCATAGGTTTACACACCAAGATTGTGCTCCACCCGGAAAGACATCCGATGCAACCAGCAAACGTGGCATCAAGAAACTACCAAAATCTAAGAGTTTCATTAAATCTACACTGATGGGCCTGCGAGTAATGAATATTCGGGCCTACAATCAGGTCGTTTATTCTCCGAATTTCGACTGCAGGAAGAACGGTAGCTGCACGAAGGCAGCATGGTGTGTCCCCTTGATTCTAGGGAATCCCAGTGGCTTGGGGTCGACGTGACGACCTGAGGCACCATCCTTGATGAACTTGCGCAAGATGCAGAAGGGTTCCAAGTTTGGGGACAAAAAGATGCTTGTTTTTGAGAGAGAGAGGGAGAGAGAGATGGCGCTGGGTTTAAAACCTTTTTTTTTGGTTTTCGAAACACAAAATGGGGCGGATTTTGAAGATGCTCATCCCCTCCAAGAAATGATCCCCAAATAGCTGTGTTTCAGCTTTGGGACGGTGGATTTCCCCATGGGGAACCTCAATCGTACAAAGCAAAGATGTTTTGCAGGCTCAAAGTTCGAACTCTTCGAACTCTGACCATATGACTTCAGAGGGGTACAGAAGACCTACTATCATTTGTGATCATTTCTAACGGTCTAAGATTACGAAACTACTGGGCCCTTGCTACATCCTACTCGCACCTATGGTGTCAAAAGTCCAACTGTGGAGACTCCGTTTGCCGGCAGCGGAATCCATCATGGTTGGCTACCCAACTGTTATACCTCTTATAGTTTTTGATGGGTTTCTCTAAAAATGATGGTGGCATAACCCAGAATTCGTACCATAATTCATAGATATTGAATGATATTTATTGCCTATTTTCGGGGCAAAGTTTCAAACTTATCATTTCTTGGCCGCATGAAGATGTGAAAAAAAGACAACTGCTTCCACCGATGCGAGAAATCTTAAAGACTTAGCTTGCTCTGTGGTGCTTCCAAATGATGGCAAGTGTATAAGTGTGGCATTGAAGTAGATAAAGAATTTTGGGGCTCCAGTGGAGGAAGGCCCAGTCGACCCTGCTTGTTGGTGCAAACATATGCAAACATCTTTATTCGGAACTTAGGAACAAAATCAACCCAAAGTGGAGATGTTAACATATGTACACATATCTTACATAACCTTGAAAACTGAGGATATTCCACCACTTCATTTTGTTTGGGATGGACATTTTCCAATGGTTTCCAGGGGCGCCAACAAGTGCCCCATCTCCCTATTTGCTATTCAAATGTTGCTTCATCCCGAAAAAAATCAGGTGCTTACAGCAGAAATGCTTGAAGATTTTCAGTTTTGTTTCCTCCAAAATCGACATAAATCCACAGTTGATGGTGTTTTCTGGCCGCTGCCCCCCTGTTCCCATCAACCCCCAACGGGGGTTTTCCGTTTTTCTCAGGATTGTGGTCATTACCGGAACGAGTTCCGGTCTCGGCAAAGCTGCCACGAAAGCCCTGCTTCGTGCAGGTTGGGAACAACCGGTCAGGATAGAATGAGATAAATGAGATAGTGATTTAATGGGATTTAATGGTGATTTAATGGGATTTAATGGTGATTTAATGTGATTTAATGGAAATACCCTCTGGTAAACTAACATAGCTATGGAACATCACCATGTTTAATGGGAAAATCCACTATAAATGGGCCATTTTCCATAGCTATGGCAGCTATGTTAAATTACCAGAGGGTAAATGAGATAATAAACTCAACAAACCAAGAATAATGTTGGAATCAATAATCAACTAATCAGAGATCTTGTTTTTTGACATGATGGGATAGAAAACCAACATACTAACAATATGGTCATATATTGGCACCAACATGGCAGATCGTTCATAAATGTTCATAATGGTTTATGTCAGAAAATACAATGAAATATCCTGATTTTGATCACTAGTGAACGCATTTTCATATTCCTACCTTTGTCTTGTTTTTTCTTTGTAGCCAGGGATCAGCATTGCATATACTCTACAAACATCCGCTGTGCCCCAACCGCATTCGACAGTCAATGTGCTTGCCACAACTGAACTGTGGGCTTTCTCGGGGGTGTCCACAGCAAGAGGTTAGCCTGTGGTCTGAATTCTTGAAATACTCCGCATATGGACGTTTTCTGTGGCCCAAACAAATGAATTACTAAATAATTACACGGGGATGTAAATGAACCAGCGAAGAAATATTTGTTGATGGATTTGTTGATGGATTTGTTGATGGATTTGCAATGTTTTTGTTGGTGGAACATTATTGAACCCTGCTTTTGTTGGTCAATTGGGTTTGTTGGTTGAAACCACTGAATTGACATGTTTGTTTTTTTGTTCTTTAAATTAGTTTTGCAAACTCGTGTTGATTTCGAAGGCACATTTACGTTTTACAAACATATACATTTCATTGCCTTTCACGTGATTGTCACTTTTTTTGTGTGTTGTTTTTGTTCTTCCCAAACTGTGGATCCATTTGGTCCCACGCCACGTGCCACCGTTCACGTTGACGTCAGGGGATTATCACGTGGTGGGTGCCGTACGTGACCTCGAGAAGATGAAGATCGTGGCAGAGCTCGAGGGTTTCGACATGGATCGTTTCACTCCCATGTGCGCCGAGCAGCGGAGCGGAGCGGAGCTTGCTCCGATGGATGGAAGGAGTTCAAGATGATAAAAAACCGTGAGAAAATGTGGGTGTTTCTAATATGGAATGGATATGGTTTTGGATATGGTTTTGTTGCAGTTTTAGCATCCTGAAATGGGGAAATATCGCCAAAACGGATATAACATGATATAACACCTTTTAACATAAGTTGCATGGTCAAGTTTTATGGGTTTGCAGTTCAACTGGATGGCAATCCTCCCATATGTCAGTGTCAATAGAAAAACCAGACCATGTTTCCCTGGTGTTTTTGGAGTTAGATTGGATTTACCACATGGAGTTTCTTGGGGGGATCCCCAAGTCACCATTGGTTTCAATGTGTTTCAATACTTAAATGGTCGATTTTGGATGTTTTTTTTTGGTTGTTGAAGGAAACCGCCACGTAGCCCACTAGATGTTTTTTGGTGCCGGAGATCGACAGCCGCCACGCAGAAAGGTGATCACAAAACACCAGCTGACCAACACAATTATGAGGATACTATAGTAGTGATGGAGGTATATTCAAAGCGTTTTATAGGGATATCATGATAAATACTATACATATCTATACATGATATGACCAACAATATGATGAGTTTGCCAGAATCAAGGAAACCTCAACTTTTAAGTTTATGAACAATTGAGTATTCCATGAAATTTTGAAATTCACCAAGTACTCCATGTGACAGATGGAGACAATCAATATCAACTAGCCATGTGACATGCACCCTGCACTGTGAAGAACTCAGAATTGGAGGATCATCGCTCGCGATGATCGTGATGTTTGTTCCTTGAAAGCATGTCAGATGTTTTTTTCCAATACTTTGATAGGTGATTTGTCCAATTTATTCCTTGCTACTTGGTTCGATGTGTTCCGTATGAAAGCATTGTGATTGAAGAATTGGAACCTGGGCCTACGTTACGTTCCTGCCACATTCCTGGGAACGTGGATAGATTAGCGACCCGACTCGATCTGGGTCAAAAACAAGTATGATGTGCATTGCAATGTGCCTCAATTATACAGTATACTATTACAAAAACATATACACATACATGTTGGAAAATACCCTCCGCTAATCAAACATAGCAATGGAAAATCCGGCAGGTACTTGGACCTCGCAAGCTTTGAGACTTGGCTTGCCACAGAAACCGATGGAAAACTGGCGACGGTTTTGCCACGAAACCATGCGGGGTTTAACCCAGGAAAACGATGGGAAACATATCCAACAATCCCAAGGATGTGGGTTTGAAGAATGTTGAAGATGTGTGATTTCCCTGAAATTCAGCAAGCAGAACCTCTCCAAAACGCCGTTCACGTCAGTATCCCTTTGAATCAGCACACCCACTGGGATGATCCGAGAAATAATATGCCTACATAATGTATATATATATATATATATTACTATATATATATGTATATGGTCCATATAATATATCCTATACCTATCTGTATAAAATATACACATACAATCATATACACATGTAGGCTAGATAGGGAATCCCCAAATAGATAGAACACCATGTAGATTTCTTCGCCTATTTTGATGAGTTGATTTGTTCATGGATCATCCCAGCATGCTAAGATGTGTCCACGGGTTGATATCCGAAGTCTTGGTTCTGGTCCACGAAAAATCCCTATCCCCAGAATTTGGGTAGCAAAAGAACAGAAAGCAACTATAGATTCAATCAAGACCCTAGATGATCAGTACAGTATCACCATTGTCGCTGCTTATAATCCCATTTTCTTATATGGGTGCTCAAAATTCTTGGGCCCCCAGCCAGGGAGTCGTTGAATCTTAAACATGACCAATGCTGTCCCACAGCCACAGGACATCATTGAAATATTATTCTGGTTGGTGGTTAGGAACATTTTTTTATTTTCCATATATTGGGAATAATCATCCCAACTGACTGATATTGTTCAGAGGGGTTGAAACCACCAACCAGTATTTATTTGATGGTCAATATCCCAAGTTTTACTGCTTATCCATTTTTTTACCCACCTTGGATGTCAAAAAGACATGCAAGCTTTGCATATGTCAAGCCATTTGCGGAAACCACATTTGCAAAAAACACATCCGAAGCGAACCTTGCGACGAAAACACCTCCTACCATTTTGTGCTGCATATTTCAAGTACTTAACTGATCTTACTTGATTTGATTAAACCAAAATAATATAAACCCATTAATATGTTCCATGTTTCCACCCATCTTCACTTTTTTCGGCACATCCAGTCCCTTTTTTAGAAACACTTTCCCTCCCCAACTCTGCCAAGCTCTGCGGCATGTTGCGCCATGTTTCGCCCCAGGAATCGGTTCACAATTTTGCAAAGGACTTGGACAAGTTCCGAGGGGATCGCCCCGTGGACCGCTTGGTGTGCAACGCCGCGGCAGCTGGGCCGTGGTGGGGTCGGGTCGAGTCCTGGGTTGGAGGGGCCATATATCAGACCCGTGGGGATTTAATGGCCATGGTGAATGGTGAAGAACTTGGGTTCCCAGTTGTTTTCCCTTCGAACCAGCCAACATGTTGAGGTTTCTTGAGGTTTCTTGCTTTCATATCCGATACCACCGGTTGAAGAAAAAATCGGCAGACAGCAACAAAAGTTGACAACTTCTACATGCCCAAGCAGAAGATAGCTGGACAAGGTCGCGGGTCAAAACTTAACCCCAAGCAAACTGTCGGTGGACATCTCAACCACTTTCTCAAATCAACCTTTTGAGACGTTCACCGACAGACCAGAGAGCTTGAGTGGTGTGTGGTGTCAAATCTGGGATTGTGTCATTTGGTACTTTCTTAGTTTTGCTGAAGAGTATTACTTGGCAAAACCCTGATTTTGCATGGGTGAATTAACCATTCAACTAACCTCATCCTGCGGAACAACAATTGCCGCAATCGATCTTCCCAGAATTCTGAGGATGGGTTCTTTAGTTTTCATTGCTTTCCTCTTTTTCAACATGTTCTTGGTCGATTGCCCACAAACCTGTTTGGATTGTATTAACCCTGTTGTTGTTGTTTTTTTTCGAGTTGGGTTGAACGAAGCACCAAGTGAATTGTTGGGACGTGGGGTATGACATGTTTCTCATAAGTTCAACAGTGGCTAAGAATCAATCCACAAAGACTTGCCTTTGGAATGGTTTCTTGACATTTGGATGCATGTGGTGGTTTCCTAAAATAGGGGTACCCCTGAATCATCCATTTTAATAGATGGATTGTCCACGAAATAACCATCCAGCTACTGGGGTAGCCACATTTCATGAAACCTCTAATGATGTTTTCCCTCCTCCCCGTGATCATTCATCTCCCCGCGATCATTCGTTTTTTCACCAGAAGGGAAAGTCATCATGGTGACATGGTGGTTCGTATATCAACCTACCCCGTAAAAACGGAGGTCTATCTATATGACTCATATAGATAGACCTCCGTTTACATGACATTCATCACAGTCCATGGCTGGAGGTATATCAACCTACCCTGAGCTACCCCAAGTGGACCGTGGATGGACACGAACAGCAGCTGCAGATCAACTATTTGAGTCAGTGCCTGGACGTCGAATCCCCCCGAAAACTCTGCTTGTTTCACTGCATTGAGGATCTTGAGGGTTTAGTCAAGTAACACCTATAAGACTGGATGATCAATGGGAATTCCAGGATCCTAAAATGGAGGTACCTACCATATATAAGGCCTATATAAGGGCTATGTAAGGGGATATCCCCCCAAAAGATGGCCTTATATGGTACAGTACCTCCAATTTAGGTTCCTGAAATGGCCATTGAGATGAAACTCGTTGCGATCAAACATGTTGACTTCTTCTCCGACGGCACCCCAGAACTTCACCTACCACCCCGTCGCGTCGCGGAACACGGTCATCCCAGGTTCCTGCTGACCTCGAAAGTGATGCCCATGATGACCGAGTCAGACGACGCACGCGTGTGCATGATTGGATCTGTGACTGGATCCTCAGCTGAAGATGGGGCGCAACTGGTGGTGAGGGGTGGATAGGCCGGTGGTTGGTGAAAGGATCGATTTATTCGTGGTTTTAGACGTGGGAATGGAATAGAATAGCATCATTCCAGTAGGGATCGGGTTCTTTTGAATATCGAACCATGCCTGTTTGACGAACGTTGAGAGCTGACTGTTGGGAATCCAATCCACCAAGCTCCAAACCACTCAGCTGTTGAACCACGTGCTGCAGGGAACCTCATCATCCGGGCGATCTTCGCTATTATTTCCTGATCATTCGCTCTTCTATAAATTAATCTACTCTGGAGACTCTGGTTGATTTGATAGTGATCACCGGCTACTCAAATGGTACCCACCATGTTCAACAGCCCAGGGGGTGATTTTCTGGGGTCGTTTAAATCATCCCAGGGACTCCCAGCACCCCCTGAATTCATCAACATCCCATCGGGCAGGAAATGACAATACTGTGGGTGGAGGTGGAGTTTATCCCATCGCCGACTTAAAGGTCCCTTGGTGCAGCGAGGGGCCGAGGGGCCAAGCACCTGTTTCTGGGAAGATGGACCAGTGAGTGTGTTAGACATAACGGTTTGTATGAAAATATAAGGTGTCCCATAAAATGCCCGGCGTTATTTTTATGCTTGCTACACAATTGCCATTTCAATAGATGATTATATAGATAATTAATGATAATTATACCATATTAATCCATATTAATGATGATTGAATAGATAATTAATGATAATTCTACCATATTAATCCGTATTAATGATGATTATATATATATAATTAATGATAATTCTACCATATTAATCCATATTAATGATGATTATATAGATAATTAATGATAATTCTACCATATTAATCCATATTAATGATGATTATATAGATAATTAATGATAATTCTACCATATTAATCCATATTAATGATGATTATATAGATAATTAATGATAATTCTACGATACCAGTAGTACCCGCACGAGGCGGGGCGGAAGTTGCCTTAAAGATATATATATATATATATATATATAAGACCTTTCTCATCTATAGAACTTGCATGCGCCGTGCGCCAGCCAAGCCCGTGCGTGCGTGCACTCTGCGAAAGTGGTGTCCTGTTTCACATGTCACATTTGAATCTCCACTTCGCCCTTCACACTTCTCACTGCACTCTTCACACTCCACACTGCACACTTCACACTCCACACTTCTCACTTCACACTGCACTCTTCCCAATCCACACTTCACACTTCACACTTCACACTCCACACTTCACACTTCACAGTCCACACTTCACACCTCTCACTTCTCATTGCTTTCTTCACACTCCACACTTCACACTGCACTCTTCACGCCCCACACTTCACACTGCACTCTTCACACTCCACACTTCATCTCATCTGAGCTCTTCTCACCTTATCCCAGCTCATCTCTTCTCATCTCATCTCTTCTCATATGTCACCTAAGCTTTCATGAAGCACTTCCCAGTACTACTACTAAGGAACTTCCATGCGCCGTGCGCCAGCCACGCCCGTGCGTGCGTGCTTTGTGCGAAGCTGTTGCAGTGTTGCTGTCCAAGAACATGACCTGCGCGCGACCCCGGTAGAATGCAAACACTTTCCTCACACTTCACATTGCACCAAAATAGAGAAAATCTGCTGACAAATCACTTTCGCAGCCTTGATGCAGCCATTCCAATACGATTTACGATCTTCAGCTGCAAAAGACAATAGTATTACGCATGCAGCCGCTGCACCAAGCAACCTTGGCGCAGCCACTACAATGCGATCTGCAGAGACTGAGTTGCAAAACACAATAGAACTACGTGCAATGGCGTCGGAAATTGCAGCTCCACAACCGGATCTCGACGCCAAAGCGACAAAAAGACGATTTTGAAGCACTTTTTAAAAGGAATTTTGAAAGGAAAATTATTAGCGCCAAAATTGAGAAAATCTGCTGACAAATCACTTTCGCAGCCTTGATGCAGCCGTTCCAATACGATTTACGATCTTCAGCTGCAAAAGACAATAGTATTACGCATGCAGCCGCTGCACCGACCAACCTTGACGCAGCCACTACAATGCGTTTCGCAGCATCCCGTAGCAAACCTGCACCTATCTACGGACGTGGCAGCACCAAATGACAACAATCATGCAGCCATTCCAATGTGATCTGCCACCACAGCTTCAAGAAGCGCATAGAACTACGCACACAGGAACAACCACTCGTTGCAAAACACATAGGAGGAACAGTTCGCGACAGAAACGACCCCAGCCGCAACCGCCGCACAGACGAGGTACCTTTCATCGCCGGCTGCAGCCACTGTACACGGAAAAACACAAGGTTTCGTGCTCCGGCTTCCTCCCGAAAACATAGCCCATGCAACATTCATGCAGCCACTACATTGCGTTTCGCAGCATCCCGTAGCAAACCTGCACCTATCTACGGACGTGGCAACACCAAATGACAACAATCATGCAGCCATTCCAATGCGATCTGCCACCACAGCTTCAAGAAGCGCATAGAACTACGCACACAGGAACAACCACTCGTTGCAAAACACATAGGAGGAACAATTCGCGACAGAAACGACCCCAGCCGCAACCGCCGCACAGACGAGGTACCTTTCATAGCCGGCTGCCACTTTACACGGAAAAACACAAGGTTTCGTGCTCCGGCTTCCTCCCCAAAACATAGCCCATGCAACCTTCATGCAGCCATTACACTGCGTTTCGCAGCATTCCGTAGCATACCTGAACCTATCTACAGATGGCAACACCAAATGACAACAATCACGCAGCCATTCCAATGCGATCTGGCACCACAGCTTCAAGAAACACATAGAACTACGCACACAGGAACAACCACTCGTTGCAAAACACATAGGAGGAACAATTCGCGACAGAAACGACCCCAGCCGCAACCGCCGCACAGACGAGGTACCTTTCATCGCCGGCTGCAGCCACTGTACACGGAAAAACACAAGGTTTCGTGCTCCGGCTTCCTCCCGAAAACATAGCCCATGCAACATTCATGCAGCCACTACACTGCGTTTCGCAGCATCCCGTAGCAAACCTGCACCTATCTACGGACGTGGCAACACCAAATGACAACAATCATGCAGCCATTCCAATGCAATCTGCAACTAGAGATTCAAGAACCGCATGGAACTGCGCACACAGACACAACCACTCGTTGCAAAACACATAGGAGGAACAATTCGCGACAGAAACGACCCCAGCCGCAACCGCCGCACAGACGAGGTACCTTTCATCGCCGGCTGCAGCCACTTTACACGGAAAAACACAAGGTTTGGTGCTCCGGCTTCCTCCCCAACACATAGCCCATGCAACATTCATGCAGCCATTACAAAGCGTTTCGCAACATCCCGTGGCAAACCCGCACCTATCTACGCACGTGGCAACATCAAATGACGACAATGAAGCAGCGATTCCAATGCAATCTGCAACCAGAGATTCAAGAAGCGCATAGAACTACGCACACAGGAACAACCACTCGTTGCAAAACACATACGAGGAACAATTCGCGACAGAAACGACCCCAGCCGCAACCGCCGCACAGACGAGGTACCTTTCATCGCCGGCTGCAACCACTGTACACGGAAAAACACAAGGTTTCGTGGTCCGGCTTCCTCCCCAAAACATAGCCCATGCAACATTCATGCATCCATTACACTGCGTTTCGCAGCATCCCGTAGCAAACCTGCACCTATCTACGGACGTGGCAACACCAAATGACAACAATCATGCAGCCATTCCAATGCGATCTGCCACCACAGCTTCAAGAAACGCATAGAACTACGCACACAGGAACAACCACTCGTTGCAAAACACATAGGAGGAACAATTCGCGACAGAAAAGACCGCAGCCGCAACCGCCGCACACACGAGGTACCTTTCATCGCCGGCTGCAGCCACTTTACACGGAAAAACACAAGGTTTCGTGCTCCGGCTTCCTCCCCAACTCACGACTTCCCTTCCTCACCGCTTCCCATCGTCACCACTTCCCATCGTCACCACCTCCCTTCGTCCACTTCCCTTCGTCACCACTTCCCTTCCTCACCGCTTCCCATCGTCCCCACCTCCCTTCCTCACCATTCCCCTTCATCATCACTTCCCTTCGTCACCACTTCCCATCGTCACCACTTCCCTTCGTCACCACTTCCCTTCGTCACCACTTCCCATCGTCACCACTTCCCTTCGTCACCACTTCCCTTCGTCACCACTTCCCTTCTTCACCACTTCCCTTCGTCACCACTCCCCTTCATCATCACTTCCCTTCGTCACCACTTCCCTTCGTCACCACTCCCCTTCATCATCACTTCCCTTCTTCACCACTTCCCTTCGTCACCACTTTCCTTCTCCACCACTTCCCTTCCTCGCCACGTCCCTTCGTCACCACTCCCCTTCATCATCACTTCCCTTCTTCACCACTTCCCTTCGTCACCACTTCCCTTCCTCACCACTTCCCTTCCTCACCACTTCCCATCGTAACCACATCCCTTCGTCACCACCCTGTGTCATAGCTTCTTATTCTTTTGTTATGTATTGTCATGTGATCTACCACCCTTCATCATAGTCAATTTCATAGCTTCTTATTCTTTTGTTATGTATTGCTAGATTATGTTTTGTTATGTGATCTACCACCCTTCATCATAGTCAATTTCATAGCTTCTTATTCTTTTGTTATGTATTGTTAGATTATGTTTTGTTTTGTGATCTACCACCCTTCATCATAGTCAATTTCATAGCTTCTTATTCTTTTGTTATGTATTGTTAGATTATGTATTGTTATGTGATCTACCACCCTTCATCATAGTCAACTTCATCGCTTCTTATTCTTTTGCTATGTATTGTTAGATTATGTATTGTTACATGATGTACCACCCTTCATCAGAGTCAATTTCATCGCTTCTTATTCTTTTGTTATGTATTGTTAGATTATGTATTGTTACATGATCTACCACCCTTCATCATAGTCAATTTCATAGCTTCTTATTCTTTTGTTATGCATTGTTAGATTATGTATTGTTAGATCACGTACCACCCTTCATCATAGTCAATCATTCGTAACTCGGAAGTATTGCTTCCCAACTTCCTTTGATGAATCCATATTTTCTACCCTATTTTCAGACATAGCTTAAGTTCATGTTTCTTTGACGAAAAATAGACATGCTACTCCCAGTTCTTCGGGAAAATCCAGGGTTTTGTGGTTTCTCCGACGGCGCCAGGGCGCGTACTTCCTATGGTTGGTTTTGTTGAAACCAGGATTATGTGGCAAATCCAAATAGATGATTAATGATAATTATACGGCAAATTATGTATCTATCAATTGTTAAAAATATGATAATGATTATGTGGCTATTATCTATCAATTGTTAAAAATAAGCCTAACATGTTAAGGGATGATGTGAAAAAAATCATTGATGGATATGTAAGTACATATTCTATTACATATTCATGGTAATATTTAGAGCAGTCTTCAAAATCCCTCTATCATCTCTTCACACTGGTTAGTTTTTTTTTTTGGATCCCCCTATTGGATTATGATAATCCCCAAGATTTTGGGGAGTATAATCCTCTATAATCATCAACCAACAGGGGTATTGAAAAAAATTGGCATGCTTTACTATTGGGTTTAGCACATCACATTCCACGGCACTTTCGAGTTTAGGAGTTAGACGGCCTGGAGCTTGGCTGTCAGAAACCGATTGCCATGATGGATGGCTACAACTTCAACGGCGCCAAGATGTACAAGGCGGATGTGCAAAAATCCTGAGGCGAAAGTATGTGAACGTAGGCTTTGGTCTATCTTTAAGGTACCACGTTACCACATTGACATGAAAGTCTCTGGGATAATCCTTTGCGTAATTGAAACAAGAAATGACAACCAGTCAGTTTTGCTGGAATGAACCCTCAAGTTCATAAAGGATTCGTCGGCACATGAATAGCACACATCCCACATATCCTGCAAATGGTTCCTCAATTTGCTTCGTTGAAGCTGCATCTTAGATTGAAATCCCAGCTTCTAGAAGACAGAACCAGTGACTCAACAGTAGCAGAGAACCCCCGAAAATCATCATAACTTAGATCATGATCTAGGTCAAATGATGTAGGATGATATAGGTCAAATGTTACAGTAATCCTTGGTGGTTAAACCTCATGTTTCCTAGGTTCAAATGAAATTTTGACTGATTGAATTCCAAGTCTCGTTCTTTAAATCCCAATGGTTTCTTGGTTGAGTGCCAAGTTTGGTGTGTAGAATAATTTGATACGTACTTAAACAATCTTAAACATGGTCAAGCACCCCATTATTGATGATGTGGGTGTTGCATGGTTTTGCATGGTTTATGATCATTGTCTCAAGCACAGTGGCAGAACACACAACCATAAATTGGGGTAATTATACGGTATACTTCATTTTCAGATTGCCCAAGTGACATTTGTATGCCCAGTATTGTTATTTTTATTATGTCGTGTCCCAATGTTCGTTGGTGGAAGTTCTGGAATGGTAAGCAACAAAAGATATGGGTTCAAAATCAAATGGTGTCTATAAAATAGAAAGAAAGTCACCCGTTTTCAGAAACAGCCAAGTCATATCAAGTTGGCTATGTATACCATTACAAACCCAATCACACACCTCTGTAATCCTCACATTGTCTCATTTGGATCACGCTTGGTTGTATATTCGACAGTATATCTCCGTTCTATCCCTCGCAAATGCTGAATAGTTCAATTTCATACTCCAAAAAAACAAAAATTGATCTAAAAGTAGCTAGTATCCAGATGTATACCCATGACGATATAGTCTCCTTCCATTCTCAGTCACATCTCAGTCAGATATCTTCGGATCCGCAGGATACCAAGCTGGCCCTGATGATGACCTCCAACATGTTGCACGAGCGCTTCCACCGCTCCACGGGCATTTCCTTCAGCTCCATCTATCCCGGCGCCGCGGCCACCGGTTGAAGCCCCGAAACCATGGGATTTCTCGGGGGTTAAAGCGGATTGATTGGGGTTTAGAGTGGGATATATTACCAACTTTAGATATATGTGTTGGCTAACCATGAAAAATGATGGCTAACATGCTTGAAGCATCCTTTTGTCTGACAATTGTTGTTATACCTCGCACATGGCAGTTTGATGCCCCTGCCTGCGCACTTTGCTTAGACCTTCTGTTCCCCACTTCCTCGGGCATAGACGGCAAGTTGGATGGTTAGTTGACATTCTCCAGAAACATGGCAGGAAAAGACATATCACAGGTGTCACAGGGCATAGAAAACTATATACCCTCTGGTAAACGTTTACATAACTATGGAAAATCACCATTTTTAATGGGTAAATCAACTATAAATGGCTATTTTCAATAGCTATGTTAATTTACCAGAGGGTAACCATGGATTTTCCACTTTCTCAGTGGTTCTTTTTCGGAACGCCACCCAGGATGCATTGCAGAATCACCTCTTTTCCGAGAAAAGCGACCCTGGTTCAGGCGCGCAGCTGGATTTTCATCGGCGGGAGGATGGTCATCGACTTAACATCAGGGATTTCTGATAGCCAATATTAAGGATTCCTACTATCGGATGGATGACCATTATTATCCATGGCATGACCATATTTTGAGTTTTGACCATGGCTCACTAGGCTTTATTTATCACTGGTTGGTGGTTTGGAACATGGCTTGTATGTTTCCATATTATATTGGGAAAAATACTCCCAACTGACTGTCATATTTTTCAGAGGGGTTGAAACCACCAACCAGATCAGAATTTGACTAAAAAAGTGAAGAAAGGGAATGGATGTCCCTGGAAGAGGGTGACGAAGGGGCAACGTTTGGAGCTGGTTTGCAACAACCAAACTTTGCACCTGGCCAATGTTTTCTGCTTGCTAGGATGAGTTATATAATGGTTGTTGTGTGTGTTTACTGTATATTCTATATATATATATATTTGTTGCATATATATTATATATATATGGATGGTCAATTGGAATGATTACAATAGATTGCAATCCAATATGGGAAGCCATGCTGAAGCAAAAAACTGCGATCAGGAAGTACTTCCCCATCTTCATGAAGTACATCACTGGAGGATACGTCGGAGAGGAGGAGGCTGGCACCCGCCTTTTTCAAGTTCTTCATGATCCCAAATGCACCAAGTCTGGTGTGCATCTTGGAGAAGTTCAATTGGGAACAGCTGATTCTTCGAGATGAGTTTATGGAAATGAAACATACAACCGGAAGGTGGAGTGGGGTTCAAGAATTCATTCAACCGAAATTCGGAATGAAATTGCCGAAGTTGATTGATTAACAGCAACACCTTTTTGAAACCATAGTTTTCTCTGATGTTTCCTTCAGCTCAACACAGTGAAGGCGTTTTTGGTAGTTGACATAATATGTTCATCGGATGGTCCACCTGAAGTCATCATTTCGTGGAGCCTAGCTCTACCATGTATTTCCCGCAGTCTTTCAGGAACTGCTGACAGCAAAAACTGATTCCAATAGTTTTAGAATCATCCCATACAAACTGTCCAACTGTTTTTTTTGGAGTCTTGTGAGGTAGAGCCCACAAACTGACAAACTGTGATTTTCTATCCCTTGGATCCATAAAAACCAAACACAATTTTTTGTTAAGGTCAAATCCCCATAGATTGTTTTGTTCCTATTGGCCACGTCTGTATGAATGGAACAAAACATATCCAAGAGCCGATGAAAGAATACCACACATGAAGAGAAACTTCTGAAAGTGAAAACAAAACTGGTTCCGACATTTTTTTGGTTGGAAAGTGAAGGTTCTGGTTCACCATTACTCAGCCCTAATTTCCAACCTTATCGCAAAGTCATCGACTAATCATTTCAGGTTTATATCGACCAAGTTTTCGGGCGCGCTCTGTTTGTTCAGTTTGTTCTTGTGAATCTCTCCAAAAATGAAGACGTGCCCGACTTGCCCCCAAAATAAGTGTGTGATTTTTTGGTGATCCCAAGTATATTGGACACGAATCACAGAACTACTCAAACATCTCCACCATCATCCAAACATGCCCCCAAAAATGGTTTAACTCAAAAAAGATGACCCAAAGAATGGATCCCAATAAAGCCCAGTAAATCATGAAATTCCATTTTAATCATCTTTAAACATCCAATCAATCACCATGAGTTATCCCATGGAGTTATCCCCCCCCAAAAAAACAGTAAATCACCATGAGTTATCCCCTTAAGAATCCATTCCCATAGGATTTCCCATAGGATTTCCCATGTTCCCAGCTTTGGATCCTGGGACCGCCTTGGCGCCTAGGTATTGGTCCTGGAACGGCGGACCCCGCGAGGGTCGCGGCGTGGAAGCCATGGAGAAGGGCGGGCAGATCGTGGGCGCCGGGGGTGCTGGAGGCGGCTGGGAGTGCCTTGGAACACCTTGGAAGCCTGAACTGAGAACGTGGGGAGGTGATAGATGTCCCAAATTCCCATTGGTTGGTTGATGAAAAAAGAGGGGTTTGAACAAACCCCTTTAACAACAGGTAAATGATGATAGATGGTATACCAGCTCCCGGTTTACAGATAATTTATATTTGGGAATGGATCAATACCTATACATACCATTTTTAGGGGGATTAATAGAGGGGTTGGTTGCCTATTTTCAGACAAATCCAATTTGGATAACATTAGACATTGATATGGGGATGGGTCAAAAGCTATAGTATTACCATATTAATTACCATGTTTTGGGGGAATAAACATCAATAAACCAACTTAGGGTACCATCCGGGTACCAGAGTTTTGACTCATAGCCATATTTATATTTATGTATAGAACTATAGCGGCTGCTACTTACTCTGGTTGGTGGTTTGGAACATTTGTTGTTTTCGGTAGTATATAGGATGTCATCCTTCCCATTGACGAACTCCCATATTTTTCAAGATGGTTGTTGCACCACCAAGCAGGAACTTGATGATGCCTTGGATGATTAATTTGCATTAATTCGCCGTTTTTTTTTGACTTGGTTGGTGAACTAATATGCGGAATATATGGGAGTATATGGGAAAATATGGGAATATATGTGAATATATGGAAATATAAGTATATGATAGGATGACACCTTGGATGATTAGCTAGGTTTATAACTTGGTTGGTTCACTCGATGGGGAATATTAGTTATGATAGTAAACCAATATGGGGAAATATAAGTTTATGGGTATGCTCAACAACTGGGTTTATGGGGAATATAAGTCTCTGATAGTATATGTAGTTAACCAGTCTATAAACCAACTGGTGACGGGCTAGGGGTACCCCTAGTCATCATCCATGTAATTTTCGGATTTTCCGTCAAAAAAACATCCAGCTATTGGGTACCCCATTTATGGAAACCCCCATATAGGATGGGTCATATAGTCATATATATATATATAATGATATAGGATATAGGAAATATGATGTAGGCAATTCACATTTTAGATATGTTAGAGTTGGGATGGCTCAGATGGTTGGATGGTTGGGTTTTTGAAACTGTTTCAATCAAAGAAAAATAGGGAAATCTCATGAAATCTCTGGAGTTTTGAGCAACTGATTTGGAGTTGGGTGTGGCTGAAAATGGAAAAAAACATGGAAATGAATGGTCTTAAGTGATGTTTGATGTGTTTTATGGTTCGATATAATCAACTCACTATGATTCGGGTGTGCCGTGCCTGCTGCCTGGCCGTGGGTGGAGGCAGATCTGAATACACAGGGGGGTCAGCTACTAAAAATGGGGTAAAATGGATACATCATAGGAGAATGAGAATAGAATGGGAGTATATCCGTATGAAAAAAAAACGACTGATACGAGATGGTTGTGAGTGGTCTTACATCAACAAAACTGGTAAAACATCCATTGTTTGGGTGGGAAGGCTTGGGATGGGTTTTACCATGACTTTACTTGTACCATGAATAATAAAGACAGCAATGATGCTGGAAACCCAATGAACCTACCATTTGGGGATGATTTGCACTTCTGGGGGACACAAAAAGTCAGTTGAAACATAATGTGACTACAGAAAGAAATATGAAAGTGATGGATGGGATTGATGGTGCTTTGAACTTGAGTGTAATGAGATGAGAAGTCCGAACCATTATGTTTATTTGTTTGCTGTGCCAAGAGAGCAAGGTTTTAGGATAACATGGTGAGAATACTTCACCCTCCAAATTAAGAAATGGTGTGAATAATCCATGGTTTCGGTAGTAAAATGATGAATGAAGAGATATAAATGGTGGAAATTAGATATTACTGTATTTCTAGGTTGTGGTGCTGCAAGGGAACAAGTTTAAATTTGCCTGTGCCCGACAAATGGTTTTTTGGAATGTGTGTGTGTGTGGGCCATTTGTATAGATGTAAAATTTCTTGTTGCTGCAGGGGGCCGCTGGGGAACATTGCAGTCAGCGGCCAATGAAGACGCTGCAGTGTTCCTGTGTAACGTACCTGCTTATATATTATATAGTCCTGCCCCTGGGCGCATATAAGTTGCAGCTCGGGGGGACCTATCTGTTGTGTTTATACTATCAACGTCTTCTGTGATCAATTAGATATGTTTAAATCTATATATATATATGTGTGTGTAGATTAATCTTCACCGTGGTAATTTGTTTGTTTGTTTGTTTTTTTTGCACGTCCGACGCGCTCCACGTCACAATTCGATATGACAGTTCTTAGCAAGTGTGTGACTCATGTCGGGTTCGACAAATATGACATGAGCCGTAAAATAGAGGTAAAACGGTAAAACTTCTTATTACTGCAGGGAGTCGCTCGGGACAACTGCAGTCAGCGGCCAAGAAGACGCTGCAATGTTCCTGTGTATAAACATATATCTTATAGTCCGGCCCCTGGGTGCATATTATATGTAAGTGGCAGATGGGGGACCTATAGTATATCGTTGTTGTTTTATACTGTCAACCGCTTCTGTGATCACACACACACACATATATAATATATATATATATTTATTTATTTAGATGCATCTTCATCGTATTATATAATTTGTTTTGTTCGGGTTGTTTGCATGCTCGACGCACTCCACTTCACAATTCGATGAGACAGTTTTGAGCAAGTGTGTGTGTGTGTGTTCACCAAATCATCGGTTCTGGGGATGGGGGTGGTATGATGAGTTGCGATACTATGATACTGTGTTCTACCAGACAGATGATTTGACCAACCAGAATAGAAAAAAAAATAAATGGAATATCATTTCCAAAGATGTCCAAACCTGTTCTTGGGATGTATGACATGTATCCATATGGGGTCCCTCTTTTGGGGACAAACAACTTGGATGTTCAACGTTCAGAGTTTGCAGAAAATTTGTCGAACAACTGACAGTGCGTTGTTTTATCCCAGGTCAATCTATGAGAACGACCAGTCTGACAAGGTCCACAACAAGGACCTGTGATTTAGGCCCAGTTATTTTTGTTTAATCAGTTCATTCAACAAGTGGTGTTATTTTCCCAAGGGGAATCCAGCATGTCGAAATTTATACGACATGTGATGTTTTTTTTCGCTGGAACTCTATAAGCAAATCCAACTAAGGGTTGATGGTGTTCAAGATGAAACAGACAAACATGTTGTGTTTAGTTGATGTGTGAACAGTGGACAAGACAATTGTTGTCATTTTGTTGGTAAATTGCGTTGCTGTTTGTGGAGGATTTCGTACTGCATATGATGACAACCTTCCCAACCAAACACTTTGAATGATTTCAAGAGGGGTTTTGACCACTGCTGATGGGAGTTGTGAATTGTGAGATGGACGGACCCTCTGTTTTTTTTTGATTTCCCAATTTCCTGATTGCACGTTAACACGTTGATTTTTTTTGCAGTGTAGTGGCATGGTTGTTTTCACTGATTACCTTTTGATTTGTTGATGTCTTTGTCATAGCTCATACTGTGTGACTTGGATATTGTGTGTGGGTGTGAAGTTTATTTTTAGTGTGCACAAACTTCCAACCTCATGGCGTTAACGCATTGCCTACTCAATTCCTCTTTTCCAAATCCTTGAGATCCCCTAGTCCCAGTATTAGATGGGAAAATGTGCAGGAAACCTCTAGATTCACTGGTCAAAATTTGTTCAAAACCAATGGCCCATGACCCCAAGCATCCAGTCCTGCCTGAGGACATGATGTTGAAGTTGTGGCAATGCACCAACGAGATCACTGGTGCTGAGTGGCCAAAGGCATATCAAGCCAAGTCACCTTGTCCCACACTGAAGGCGAACCTGGTGGCGGCTGGGGCGGAACTGCAGTTTGTTTGTCGTTTTTGGAATGACATAAGACCTTAATCACCCATGTTTATCCATTTTTTGCGTTACAGTTTGTTCCAGTACCTTTGATGATTGGTAGTTTGTGCATGTCAGGTTCCAATTCGGTCGATCCCTTGCAAATTGTTGTAAGTATTCCATGCATTTTATTGTTGTCTCCACTTCTGTTGCTTCTGATTCCCAATAGCATTGGCTTAGGGGTTTCGATCTCTAGGTCTGGGAGTGGTGCGACGTTTTTCGCCGAGCGTAAAAATCAGAACGGCGCCCTGAAACCCTGGAACCCTGGAACCTGCTGTTGGGTTGCAAAGCTGGGTGAATACCACACATGCCCATAGCATCCCCAATTTGTTGGGCTGAATCTGAAGTCAGCGCAGGTCATATGAAAAGCCTGTTGTCAGTTGTCACTCCTCTCCTTGCTTCCAGCATCATATGGGTATGGGTCAAGATGGGTGACCCCAACCCATTGTAGCTAAATGATAGCCCGAAAAATTAAACAAATCACGAAGAAGGGAAAACATCTTCACCTCACTTTCTGATCGCCATGTTGCCCCATTATTTGGGTATATTTCGATAGCAACCCGGTTCAACGGATCCCATCTGTTGGCTGCTGGGCGCAGGTGGTGGGCGCGGCCACCCAGATCCTGGGCATCATGGAAGAACGCGCTCGTATGAAGGCCTCACGCGATGGCGAGGGAGCCAAGATCGTCGGCAACCGGACCTTGCCCAAGGAGGTGCCTGGCAAAAAGATATGTTCGGCAAAACTTGGAGATTGCACCAGCAAAAAAATGTGATTTACCCATCAAGAATTGGAGATGTCACCAGCAGAAATGGAGATATCACCTATCACCCGAAAAGAACATGATATTTCACCAGAAAATTCATGGGATTTCAGCAGAAATGGGGAGTCGATCGCAGTGATTCAAGCGGAAATGGGGGGACTTAACCAGCAAGAAAATTCCCCGTGGTTTCAAAACATGAGCGAAGACTAGGAAAAAAAGGAAAGTATGGCATGGTTGGGGATATAACATGATATACTGGGATATAATGGGTGAATGATGGGATATAATTGATATAATGGGTTGTTTTGTGGAACTACGTGACTGAGTCATTTGGGTTGAACTATCAAGATTGCACACATATGCCGAGAAGGAATTGAATGATTGAACCATCATATTCATGTATTATCATCAATATTTATTATCATGAATATAATTAATATAATTTCAATAATATAGATAATGTTGTGTGTTTTCAATGTGGAATTCATTCATTACAATGTTAGTACAACTGTTTGATGGTTT